CACTCTCTTGAGAGTGTCCACTCACATATCATCCCTCACTTCCAATCTCAGAGGCAAAAAAAAAAAAAAAAGTGTTTCTTGTTGTTGTTTATATTTGCATTGTATTGATTATGAATGAGATGGAGTGCATCTTCAAATTGCAGTTTTAATGGGTGAATGGGTTCAGTTAAAGCATCAGAAAAGAGAAGTGGCTCCGGAAACCATGAGGTGAGAGTGGTAAAGCTAGGACTCGAATGTGGCAGCATCCTTGGCCCTTGCCCTTTGACATACACAATGGGAAGTAGAGCCCGGCTTGGGGCTGGAGGGGAGTGGAGGTTGGTCCAGGTACAGACCTACCCACAAGCCCCTCCGTCCTCCGTCCTGAGCCATCATCTGCCCCCACCACTCACCGACTCTCTCTCTCTCTCTCACACACACACACACACATTGGTGACACAGAAGGTACAGAGACTCAGGGCTGTAGATGCCCTGATTGACAGTGAGCCCCCATGAGCAGGGATGAGGTTGCCTCACCGCTCCCCCGCCCCCCACTTCTGGTCGCTCAGGAGCTGAGCATGCAGCAGCTTCTGCTTGGTGACTATCTGGCGAATGAATGCTGCACACTCTGTCCGAGGCACAGTAAGGGGCAGGCTTCTATTCTGTTCCCTCCCAGAAAGCTGGGGAGTGAAGCTGCATACCAGAGAGATGTAGCCATGGAGGCTGTGGGGTGGGGTGAGGGAAGCCTCCGTTTTTCTGGGTTTGGGGACTTGAACTGCATTACTTCCGAAAGTGGAACTAGCTACACCCTACACGAGGACCTGGGGTTCACTGTGGTTCTCACCACCCTCTGCTATTTAGTTGAGGGACTTTTCTCAGGCCAGAGCCCATCCCTTCAGGAATGTGGACTCATGGTGCTTATGGTTAGAAATGGTGATGGTTCTGTGCTCTGCCCCGGCTCCCAGCCCGGGCCAAACTGGGCATGTGCTCAGGAAACCATGGCTGACTCAAAGCCAAACTGATTAGGACTCAGTGAACTGAGCTGGGGCTCAGACTCTGCCCCTTCCAAAGCACAGGACCATGGAAAGGCCCTGCCTTCCCTGAGCCTCAGGATGGCTTCTCTGTGAAATGGGTTTCAGCTGTGTCCTTCCTCACCTGGCTCATGGTTGTTGGGGAGAAGCCTGAGAGGCCTCCATCACCCCACAGGCCTCAGCTACCATCCCTCCTTCAAGGTGCCTAGGCAAGGGGAAGGGGCCAGGCAAAGGCGTCCCATCTGTTCACTGCAGCCCCATCCATGCCTGGCCCTGGTAGTCACAGGATGGGGAGCCAAGCCTCGTCACAGACAAGGACAATAGGAAGTAATGGGTGTTCAGAAGGGTTGAGTGGGAAGCCAGAGGACACAGGTTTCTTGCAGGAGGTGACAGTTGAATCCTTTTCCAAGTGGATAAGGGGGAGGAGCAACCCAAGTAGAAGGGAAGCTGGGAGAAGAGACAGAGGCCAGAGCATGGGGACCATGCTTGGGGAGTCACAGGTAGAATGGCGTAGTAGAACCAGAGCACCAAAGACTGGCAGGATGCATGGGAGATGAGATGAGTAGGTGAGGTCATCTTAGACCAGACCTCCCGGGTCTTAGAGGCTCCACGACCGAGTCTGGACTTATCCTGAGGGCAATGGTGACCCGGTATGACCTGATTTATGATTTCAAAATCACCCAAGCTGTTAGGTAGAGAACAACTGTAGGGGATAAAGGTAGAGGGAGGGAGGCCAGAAGAGGTGGTGGGCCAGGCCTAGGTACCAACTGTGACCAGACAGAGACATGACCACACACAGAATGGAGTGGCTACAAAGGGCGAGGGAATCATCCATTAAAAGTGAAAATTTTTGGGGCACCTGGCTGCCTCAGTCAGTAGAGCATGTGACTCTTGATCTTGGGGTTGTAACTTCAAACGCCACTGTGGGAGTAGAGTTTACTTAAAAAAAAAAAAAGTAGAAATTTTCTGGAAGTGGAATTCCAGAATTCCAGAATAAGAAAGAAATCCTCGGACAGTGCTCTGGTGAGCCCCTGCAATCAATGCTGCCTCATCAGAGCTCCGAGCAATGGGGCAGGGACAGCTCTATGCCCCTGCCACCCCAGGAACCAGCAAGCCGCCCAGCCCTGAGTGCTCAGTGGGTGTTTGTAGAATTAATTAATAAACAGAGTACTTGCAGTGGGAGGTGAGGTACAGGGAGGGAATGAATTTGAAACATGTCTTGGAGGTGGATCAATCAACAGGACTAGAAGGCTGAATGAAGGTGTAGGAGAGGTGACGTCATGGTTCATGCATTTTCTGATTGGTTCACTTCATTCATTCACTGGCTCATCTGACTATATATATATATTTTTTTTTAAATTTTTTTTTAAAGTAGACTGCACGTCCAGTGTGGAGCCCAATGTGGGGCTTGAACTCATGACCCTGAGATCAAGACCTGAGCTGAGATCTAGAGTCTGACGCTTAACCGCCTGAGCCACCCAGGTGCCCCATCATCTGACAAATATTTCTCGAGCTAGGGACAGTGGTGACGAGGACTTCCATGATCCCTGCCCCCGCAGAACTTCAAGACCCACAGTGAGGCAGGTTTAGGCGCATGAGCACACATGGGCATGCATGCTTCCTGGTGGTGATGAGTGACAGGAAGGTAGTCCACAGGACATGGGGAGAGAGAGTAACAAGGAGAGGCTGTCTTCAGAGAAGATGGTCAGAGGATGCCTTGCAGAGGAGGTGACTTCAGAGGTGGGCAGGGACCAACTTGTGCCAGTTTTGACAGTTCCGTAGAGGCCAGGCCTCTGGCTCAGGTGGGAGCCTGAATGGAGGTCAGTGCTTTGCAGAGATGAGACGAAGGAAGAAGAGTCCCCCAGGGGCCGGTCATGAGATCTGGTGGGTCAACGAGAGGCTCTGGAACAGGAGAGGGCTCTGAGCATGGAGGACTGCTTGGTATGTTCAGCAGTGGATGGATGGAAGCCCTGGGACTGAGTGATATTGTAGGGTGGGGAAATAAAGACAACCCTGTCCCTGGAAGCAATCTCCAGGTTCAAGGACTATAGAGAAAGGTGTGCTGCAAAGGAAGGCAAAGAGGAGGGGCTGGGAGGCCGGAGAACTGGGAGAGGGTGGTGTGTCTCTTGGAAGAGCTGGTGATGGAGAGGTCTCTGCCCCCCACCACAACTTCTGGGTTGTGAAGACCAACCCTGGGGGGTGCAGATATTCAAGAACCTCTTAAGGTCCCTCAGCCTGCTCCTGGGTATGTCTGTGCTACCTCTAAAGGTGAAGGACTACAGAGTGAAACCTGAAGGGTGAGGCCCAGAGATCTCAGTTCCACCTCGACCCACTCGAGGGGAGAGGCAGTATTCCAGTCCCCTTATGGGGAAGGACCGGGCTCTGGCCCCCTTGGCCAACATGTGCCCCAAGCCCAGGTACCCAGACCCTGCCAAACTCTGTGAGCAAGGCCTGAGGCTCCCCAGAAGCCAATAACCAATGAGTGGTGAATGCACGGCCAGGTGTCCAATGGCTAGGCTTCAGGCCCCCTTGTTCCCCTTCCGGAAACTGTCCCTGATCCTTCCCTCCAACCAACCGAACCCAGCAGTGGCGGTTCCAGGACCTGTTTCAGGCGGTCACAGATAGGAGGGCCTGAAAGATCTCTAGAGACCACAGATTCTGAGGAGTGGGCTGGCAAGCGGGGCTCTTCGGCGCACCCTGTTTTGGGATCTGTGTGGGAAGGAATGGGCTTTGCTAGCAGCTGCCCAGTTCCCGCGGATCCCGAGCGCCGAGAGCTCCCACCGCCCTCGCGTCCTACAGGGCCCCGCCTCCCCGCAGGCTGATGGAACCCGCGGGCCACTGGCCTGCCCCGTTACCCGAGAGGGCGGAGCGAGCCGTGGGCGCCTCCTCCGGTGCGGGAGCCGCTGGAGCGCAGTGGGTGGGGCCCAGAGGCCTGGGGAGGAGCGGGGTGGCTGGGCTGCGGGCGGCGGGCGACGGGCGGAAGGAGGGGCGGACGCCGGTAGCGGCGACAGCGGCAGCTGCGGCGCGACCAGGCCGGGCAGGGACGAGCGCACGGAGAGCGCGAGGTCCGCGCAGCCCAGCGCAGCCATGTGAGTGTCACCGCCGTTTCCCGGGCCCGCGGGCCGTGCCGGGGATGGGCGCGGCGCTCCGGGTGCCTCCCCATCGGTCCCGGATCTGCTGCCCCGGCTGCGGCCCTGTCCCACATCGCCCCATCCCCGGTACCCGAGCCGCGCGGTGTGGTTCCTCCCCTCCCCCCGGGCGCGGAGGACGCCCACAAAAGCCGCCGACTCTGGGCCTTCTTCCCTCCCAAGGCAAGGCCCAGGCGGCCCTTGCCCCGGAGCTCTGGGGTGGGCCGGGCCTGACGGCGGGCCCAAGGCGCCAGCCTGGGGGCTGGCAGGGGCGCTCTCCGGGAGCCCCCCTGCCCTCGCCGCGGGGTAGGCTGAGCTGGGAATGGGGAGGGGGCGGTGAGGGTGCAGGCCAGCCTCCGAGATGAGCTAATCTTCCTGGTCCTACCGGCCAGCCTAAGCGGCTTTGGGGCTCGGCCCGAGGTGGCGGATCCTGGCCTGTGGCCGGGCTCTTTGCTCAAACGGCTGAAGCTGGAGATGATCTCCCTGGCCTGGCGGGGTACAGACCCTGTCCCTGGGAATGGGAGGCTGATGCGGGGTCTGTCTGCAAGCAGCCAGGCTTGGGCACCCTGCAGAACTGTTTTGGGGAAGAAGCTGCTCGCCAAGGCTAGGGATCGGCTAAGTCTGCCCTGGGCACCCTCTGTCTTCTCCCTGTTGAGGCCTGAGTCCAGTCTCCAGAACTGACCCTTCCTAGCCAGTTCTACTGGACTGATCCTAATTCGGGTCCAGGCGAGCTGGCGGAGCACCTACTGTGTGCGGTCTCATATAACAAAGGTGCCCTGGCCACCATCAGTGGGACCTCACCCTGGGCCTGCAGCATTCACATCAGCGCAGGCTTCTGAGGAGGGTTATAGCAATCTGACAGATGCAGAAGCAGGCCCAGAGAGGTTAAGTAATATTCTCAAGGTCACACATCTGGCTTAGGGAGAAGTGGGAACTAGAACCAGACCTGAATTTTGCCATGGCCCTACCACCGTTGTGGCATGAAGAGGGTGTGGGGAATGAGAATCGAACAATGAGGTACAAAATACTCCAGCGGGACAAGGAGGCCTGGCTTAGCTTCCACTCCCACCCCCCCTCCCCCTCTTGGGTTCTGTGGGGCAGCAGCCAGAGTTGGAGGCCTGATTTGGGTGGGGGTGAGGGGCGCATGCGGGGAGCCAGGCTGGGTGCACCCTGGGTGGAAAAGGAGGTGAGGAGGACGAGGCTCAGTCAACCCTGGCCCTTCACTGCGGCTGAGGACTCCCGACCCTGCCAGGCCCTGCCCAGGGGAGGCCACCAGGCTTCCAGGGCGCCGCCAGCCGGGGAATGTGACCAGCTGACCAGGGAGGGGGCCGGCAGGAAGTGAAGCCACCCGGCCGCCTCCGCCTCGTTCCGGGGTGGGGGGTCCCAGGCTGCGCGCGCACGCGCGCCCCCCCCCCCAGGCAGCTGCGGCATGACGTCAGCAGCCGGGGTTGGGGGCTGTCGCCATGGAGACCCGGACAGGTTCGGTTAGGGACCCCATTCTTGCAGCAGCCCCTTGCCCCGGTTATTTTTAGCGTCTGTTTACCTCAGTCTGGGGCAGCCCCGCGCCTGGGCGGGGCTGGACCGGGGACTCCGGGCTAGGCTGCTGGCCTGGCCGGGCATACCACTGAGCTGGGCAGTGCAGGTGGTGCGACCTCCCGTCCCACACAAGTGCACCACTTTTGGCATAGAGGGTATTGGGGGTGGAGGAATCTGGGGCCATGCAGGCCTCCGGGGCTCCATTCCCTTCTGCCTGGAGCTGGCTGTGCTGCAGGCCCCATAACTTTTGGGACCTGGGATCTTTCCCAGGTCCAGAACAGACTTCAGGGCTGGCATGAGTCCAGAGAGTCCCCTGGCTCCCATCATTCAGCCCCTGCCAGTTAAGGCGGGCCCTCTCCCTTAGCTCAAAGGGGTTCAGCTCTTTCTCTCCCCTGCAGCAGGGAAGATCCTGCCTTTCCACCTGCTGAAATGGTCACTCAGATGGATATTCTGATGGTCATTTAGCGAGAGTGCAGACCAACATCCTGGTCCCTGTCAGGGACTAGGGAGTTGGTGGCAGCAGAGCCCTAGTCAGAGAAAGAAAAGTGTTGGGACAGTGAGCCTACTCTGATTCTAGCCTACCCACTCAGTTCCAGAATCCCAGGGTCCCCACCCTGCCTTATGCCCAGGGAGCAGAACGCTACTTGCTGATACAATCAGCAAGTGGGGAAGGGACAAGGAAGATTGTATGCAGGATAAGGGAGTTGGGGTGGGCACAGACTTAAAATCTACCCCTTCAGCAGCCCAGGATCTGCTCTTCCTGTGTCTGGGCAGCCCGGTTCACTCAGCCCCCTCCCTCATCTCCCTGGTGTGGGGCCCAGAGGGCACAGCAGTGAACCCCACAAACAGGCCCCTGATCCCAGAGTTCACAGTCTGGTTGGAAGACAGATGCTAAAGGAGAACTGACAACTGAGCTATGTGGTCTTAGGGATCAGAGGAAGGAAGCTATGAGGCGCCTGAAAGGGGGAACCAACCCAGGGCAGGCTTCCGGGAAGAAGAAGTCATAGGGTAAGACATGAAAAAAGAGAGGGAGTTGTTCAGGTTGAGAGTATGGGAGGAGGATACAGGAGCAATGGAGGTTGTTGCTCAAAGGCTGAAGAGCCTTGCAGGTTTTGAGAGGGTCACAGTAGCTGGAACAGAAAGACCATGAGGGGAGCAGGGGGACTGAGTGGAGGACTGGTTGAAGGTATATGTGGGGAGGCACAGAGCCTGAAGGGTGTTGGGGGTCATGTCAGAGAATCTAGACTTTATCCCTGGGGTAGGGAGTCACCCATGGATGTTTCACAAGAGTCAGAGAGAGGGATGTTAAAGACTCAGAGTCCTGGGGTCCGACTGTCTGGATTTGAATCCTGGCCCTACCACTTACCAGCTGTGTAATCTTGGGCAGATTAGTGATTATTAATAACAGCAGTTAATATTTGTTGTGTGCTTAAAGTGTGGTAGTGTGCCCACCCCAACTTCCCTACCCCACATACAATTTTCCCTTCCCCAAACACTCCCTAGAGAGAGAAGTAGCTAATTTCAAACTCCCAACAGCCCCGGGAGACCATTGTTGTTATTATGCTCATTTAACAGAGGGGTATCCGAAGCCCAAAAAGGTTAAGAAATGGCATGCCCGAGGTCACACAGCCAGTTAGCCTCAGGTTTCTCATCTGCAAGATGGGGCTAATAAGATTTACCCCTATTAGGGTTGTTACCAGAATTAAATGAGATGATGTTTGTTAATTAAGCGCAGGGCCTGGCCTATAGAAAGCACTTGTCAAAGCACGGTTTTTGGCATTGGGAGATGACTGGAATTTTAAGAAGAGCAATGTTGTTATTGAATAAACAATGCAGGGGGCGCCTGTTGGCTCAGTTAGTAGAGCATGCAACTCTTGATCTCAGGGTCTTGAGTTCAAGCCCCACGTTGGGCGCAGAGCTTACTTAAAAAAAAAATGTAGGCAGTCATGTAAAATAAAGCTGGATACCCTTAAGAAAAAAAAAAAAAGAATGGATCATCGTGGGTTACAGTGGAGACAGGGAGCCCATTAGGAAGCTGCAGTAGGGTTCTAGATGAGAGGCGGTGACAGCTTGGACTCGAATTCTAACGGAGTGGAGGTGAGGGGAGCAGTTTCCAGAGATGGCAGGAGTGGGTGGCTGAGTGGATGTGGGGGTAATGGAGACAGAGGCATCCAGGATGACTCCTAGTTTCTGTCTTGAACAACTGGGTAAAGAGGGGGTGGGGCTGCCACAGAGAGGTTGACTGGGGAGAGTCAAGTTTGAGAAGGAAATTGGTGGATTCAGCTTGGGGACCTCAAACTCAGCACATCCCCAATAGCCCACTCTGCATTGTCGCTCAGCTTCCGGGGAGGTGACAAGCAGGCAGTTGGCTATAGAGGCCTGGTGCTCAGAAGAGCCGTTTGGGCAAGGAAGAGATAAGAAAGTTGGCAACATTTAGATGGCATTGAGGTGTGGGAGATGTACCCAGCCCAAGAGTGAGGAGGCTGAGGCCCGTTCCGGGATGATGAGAAAGACAGATCTCCTGTGGGAAAATAAGACGTCCAGCCAGAGAGAAATAGGTGGAAAACCAGGAGCATGTTGTTGCCTCTTGAAATTCAAGGGCTCAAAGAAGAGGAAGAGAGCCACAGAGTGAAAAGCTTTACTGAGATCAAGCATGATAAGGACTAGGCCTTGGACACTGGATTTAGCAACAGAGAGGTCACTGACCAGTCAGGGGAGTGGTGGGTGTGGAAGGTGGACCAGAGTGGGAAGAGAACTGGCTGGTCATGGAGAGGAAATCGAGGTAGACATCTCTTCAAGAAATTTGACTCTGAAAAGGCCAAATGGAACCATGGGTGGGGTCGCTGGAAAGAGACGTGAGGTCCACAGAAGAGTCATTTCATTTTGGAGTTATTAAAGTCAACTTTACCTACAGAGAGGGTGCATGTCCTAAGTGTACAGCTCAGCCCATTTTTCACAAGGGAACACACCCACATAGGATCAGGAAATAGAACCCAGATTAGGAAATACAGAACATTACCAGCACCCTGGAAGCCCCCTTGCGCCCCCTTCCAATAACTACTCCCAAAGGGTAACTAGTATTCAGACTTCTATCGCCATAGATGAGTTCTGCCTGTTTTTGAACTTTCATATCAAGGGAACCATACACATGTCCTCTCTTGTGGTCCTGCTTCTTCTTTATGTCTGTAGGATTCATCCATATTGCTGTGTGCAGTTATATATTGTCCATTCTTTTTGCTGTATAGGGTTCCATTATCTACGGATGGGCATTTTGGTAGTTACTAGGGTTGTTTTCATTTTTTATGTGGAAGTGACTTGAGCTTGTTTGAGGCTTGTGGAGAAAGTCTGAAACACTCATCATCTGTGAGAAGGAAGAAAGATGAGGAGGGCCACACATGAGGATTTCCCGGGTGGGAAATGAGAGCCTGGCTGAGGTTGAGAGAATCGCTCTGTGGTTCCAGCTCAGTTCCAGCAGGTGCAGGCACAGAGAAGGCTGGGAGGTGGGTTGCCCAGTGGTGGTTTCTGCCAGGTAGGAGAGAAGCAGGAGTGCTAGGCATATTAGCAGCAGTGAGTGATGCAGTGGTAGCTGCGGATCTAGGCTGGGGAGAAGGATATGCAGGGAAGAGAAGGTGGGAGGGAGCTGGCAGGGAGAAAGGAAGCTGGGGCCAATTGTGAGCTCTATGCAGGTTGGTGTCTGTGAAATTCTGGGCTGTATCTCCAGTGACTGACACATGCTTGGCACAGAGTTGTCACTCAGTGAATAGGTGAATAAATGAGCTGAGGGCTCAAGAGTTCTCAGGTAGAAGACAGGGAAGGTGGAGGTGATGGTGAGAGACTTAAAGTTGGAGTCACTGTGGTTGCGATTTAGGAAAGGGGCATTCCAGAGCCAGGGGTGTTCCCTTGGAGGGTGGCTGAAGGGAGCAGAAAGGCCAGTGTTGGGCGGGCAATCCACAGGAATACGTAGTTGCTAGTGTAGGGTGCACAGCACCAGGTCTTCAAGGAGAGAGAGGAGGTTAAGCACTTCTCAAACTGGGGTCCTTGGGCATCTTGCATCTGAATCTGTAGGGGAGTGGTGGGCTTGTTGGAAATGCTGATCCCTGGGCCCACCCCAGCCTCTCGGGGGAGAAAGTAAGCAGAACTGAGCATCAGGGAGCAGGAGTATTTATGGGATGGGGGAGCACCCAGCCCTTCCAATGCCCACTAGTCCCTGGGCATGGTACCCTCTATTTAGGCTGGAGGTGGATGAAGGAAATTCAAGGAAAAGATACTGGCCGCGGGAAAGGGCCAACACCAGGGAGATTCAGCCATGTGAGTTGGTGGCCAGAAGGAGGGGGCCTCATTCTAGGATGCAGCTTCTACTAGAGAGGAGGCCCTGGCTGGGAAGTGGGACCTGATCCTGTTCCCTAGGGCCTGGGGGTGCCGGGGAGTGTGCCTAGACTGAGCACCCTGGTGGATGGGGGCTGTGTGACTCTGTACCCAGTTCCTTCTCTTCTTCCTTTTTGAGGCAGCAACACATAATATGAGCTCGGTCCAGTACCCCTTTAGCCCCTCTCTCTTCTCAGCCTCCCAGACCCCTCATGCTTGTGCCTGACTCTGCCCTCCATTGGCATAGACCCTCCACTCCGCACCCACAGCCCTTCCAGTCTTTACATACTCAGAACCCCAATTCCCAGCCCCCTGTGTGCTCAGTCCCCTCTCAGCACCCCTCTACAGCCACTCTATGAGACCCTTATTCTAACTGCATCCATCCAGCCTCCACTCAGGGTCTTCATTCTGTTTATCCCTCCTCATTCACCGCCGCGCTCAACTCTCTTTACCCAAACGCCTAACCCCACCCGAGAGGACCCACTTCAGTCTCCTCCCCCAAGGGAACCCCCAGGCACCCCTCCCAGAGGCCGGCCAGTCCCCGGGCCCGGTACCCCCCCCCGCGTCCAGCCGGTCCCGCCCCATCCATCCCGGCGGGCTGAGTCAGGCGGCAGGAACTGGGCGGGGGGCGGCGCCGGGAGGAGCTGAAGCCGGAGCCGGAGTCGCTGGGAGCGAGCGCGGAGCCCAGCTCGGCCAGCACCTAGTGGCCCTGGGCCTGTGGGGATACAGGGGCGGGAGGGCAAGCGCAGGGGGTGGGGAGCTGTCCTGGACCTACCATGAGTGCCAAGAAGAGAGGTAGGACCCGGCCTGGGGCTGCGAAGGCCCTGGGGCTGGCCCCAGGGGGTGTGGGCCGGACTCTGGGGGCCAGGGGCACGTGTTTCTTCGGAGCAGGGTGGGGGTCTGCGGAGGATCCCTTCCGGCTAAGGGCGCGGGCGAAGGCGTCCATCTGTGACTCAGTTTCCAGGTCAGAGCCACAGGAAAGTGGCGGAGGCAGGGCACTTCTTGGCACTGCCCCCCACTCTGGGAATCCCCCGGCTGCTGGCCGCTGGGAGGGCTCTGGCGTCCCGGCGCCTGCGAGCCGGTGGGGGCTGGAGGGGAGCAGTGTACACGGGGCGGGCGGGTCGCGAGAGCCAATCCCGCGCCTGCCGGGCCTGTCCGGCACCTCCGCTGGGCTCAGAGCGTGCACCCCGCCCGGTGACCTCCGCGGCCTCGCGGGGTGGGGGCGCGGGAGCTCCTGGTCACTGTTGCGGGGGGTGGGGGGTGAGTTCAGGGGCAGGGCTGGGGAGCCCGCCCCGCCCCCGGGTAAACAGGCGCTTCCGCACATTCTTCATGCGCCCCGCCCCTTTCCTGCCCCTTCCCAGCCGGGGGAGGGTCCCCGCGCGACCCCCCTTCCTGCCCCGCGACAGGCGGAGCCTGCACCTCTGCAGGAAGTGGGGGCCGAGCCGAGGCCACGCTGAGTCCGAGGCCGAGTCGCCCGGCCGCCCTGTCATTAGCGCCGGGGCCGGCGGGGTTGTCGGACTCCCGGCGTCAGGCGGTGTCCGGGAGGACTAAGATACAGAGGCCCGGCCTCCGGAGGGGGCTTCAAAAGCCTGACTGGCGCTGGACACCCGCCCTCGCCACCCCCCAGGGAGCCCCGCGCGGACTCATTCCATGATGTCCCTGTCGGTGCGGCCGCAGCGCCGCCTGCTCAGCGCCCGGGTCAGTAGGAGCCAGTCCTTCGCAGGCGTCCTCGGCAGCCACGAGCGGGGGCCCAGGTACGCAGCCGAGGGGAGCTGATGGGGTCAAGAGAGTGTGACGGGGTTGGAGCTGGGTGTGCAGTGAGGGTTTGGGGACTCCTTCTCGTACTTTTCTGAGTGTAGCCTCTTCTTCAGGAGCTTCCCGGCCTTCAGTCCCCCGGGGCCCCCACGGAAGCCCCCAGCGCTCTCCCGAGTCTCCAGGATGTTTTCCGTGGCGCACCCAGCCCCTAAGGTCCCGCAGCCGGAGCGGCTGGACCTAGTGTACACTGCGCTCAAGCAGGGCCTGACGTAAGGAACTCCTCCCAATGCCTTATCCCAGGACCCCTCCCTAAGCCCTCATCCCCTTTCTGCTAGTAAGAAACTTCCCCAGCCTCATATCTTCTTCCCACTGCCTGTACCCTGGGCAGCTGGAGGCTGCAAAGGTAAGCAAGCTAATTCTTGTAGTTGCCCCTTTCCCCAGGGCCTATTTGGAAGTGCACCAGCAGGAGCAGGAGAAACTCCAGGGACAGATTAGGGAGTCCAAGAGGAATTCCCGCCTGGTGAGTAAAGGGTTAACAAGGATGCCCTGGACTGCTGCTCTTTGCCCTTGTGATATGGGGGACTGGGTAGCACCAGCTGTGGGTGACATCAGGGCTGTTTTTTAGGGTGACTTAGCCCAGCTGTGACTAGAAAACAGGATATCAGGAAAGGCTGGGGCTGGGCAGGTTTCTAGCCCCACCTTCCCCAGGCTGTGTACACTTTCTGCCTAGGACCCAGTATCTGTCCATGGGAGCTTTCAGTGGGGTGGGTCAGACTTCCACAGATGTGGACAGCAGGAGACTATATTGTAGTAGTGCTGACAGAGAGTCCTAGTTCTTCCCCAGGAACAGGTCAGGACCTCCTAGAGGAGGAAACACCTCTGCTGGGTCTTGAAGAATAAGAGTTCCCTGGTAGAGAGAACCTCTTCCTAAGGGTTGCGGGAAAGGGAGAGGGCCAGGGGAGGGATCCCAGGGGAAGCGGTCAGGGGAAGGGTACAGGAGGGGTCTTGAGGACCGGACCCTATGTCACTAACATCCACCAAAGGCCAGGCATGTGGGAAGGTGGGTCAGTCCATGCTTTGAGTGGAGTGGCTGTGGACTATGGTATGAGGGGGAGGAATGCTGTGCACGAGAGGAGTTAGCTGGGTCTGGGTAGACAGGTGCCCCTGCTGGAATACTTCCCATGCCTCCTAAGTGCCTCCTCTCATCCTCTCCTGTAGGGCTTCCTGTACGACTTGGACAAGGTGAGTGTGTGGAGAATGGTGTTGGAAGAGGTTAGCTTATGGGGAGGGTAAAGGGCTCTGATCCTCTGGCCCCTCCTGACATACCTCTCCCTCAGCAAGTCAAGTCCATTGAACGCTTCCTGCGACGGTTGGAGTTCCATGCCAGCAAGGTACGTGTGCAGCATGCATGTGTGCACACAAGTGGGGCGGTAGACTGGTGTCACAGGGAGATTGGGGTGGGGGGAGTGCTAGGCCCTGGGTGAGCAAGCCCGAGAGTAAGTCTCAATTCCGCCAATACCACCCCACTCATCTGCCCAGATTGACGAGCTATATGAGGCATACTGTGTCCAGCGACGTCTCCGGGATGGTGCCTACAACATGGTCCGTGCCTACAGCACTGGGTCTCCGGGGAGCCGCGAGGCCCGGGACAGCCTGGCTGAAGCCACTCGAGGGCATCGCGAGTACACAGAGGTGAGAGATGGGTGTCCATGAGGCCGAGGCACAGGGTATAGCAGAGCTGGTGAGGGGGGCCTGGTTCTTGACCCCCTCTTGTCCTTGACCACCCCTCTCAGAGCATGTGTCTGCTGGAGAGTGAGCTAGAGGCACAGCTGGGCGAGTTCCATCTCCGGATGAAAGGTACTAAGTGATGGGAGCAGACTGGTGGTGGGGAGAGGGAATTGTGTGCTTGAGACCCCTCAACATGGCTTATCTCCTTCTCCCCCAATTCCCAGGGCTGGCTGGCTTCGCCAGGCTGTGTGTGGGCGATCAGTATGAGGTATGAGAATGTGCAGTGAAGGGCTGGGATGGGAGGGTCGCAACAGCCAGGGCTGCCTCATCCTGCCTGTTCACCTAGATCTGCATGAAATATGGGCGGCAGCGCTGGAAACTACGGGGCCGAATTGAGGGTAGCGGAAAGCAGGTGTGGGACAGTGAGGAAACCGTCTTTCTTCCTCTGCTCACGGAATTCCTGTCCATCAAGGTGATGTATCTGCCCAGGACCACAGGGCATCGTGATCCTGTGACTCCTCTGCAAATATGTGACCCCTGTGACCTTCATGACTCCGTGATTTTCTCATAATCTTTTCATCTTGTGAATATTGGACCCCCTGGATCCCCATGAGCCTGTGACCCCCATGACCTCAGTGACCCTACAAACTCAGACCTCTGTGATCCCCATGCTCCCAGGCTGCTTTAATCTTCCATGGCCCCGTCACTCAGAAAATTCCAATCCCTGCAACCTTCTCATGGCCCCATGACCCTTTGACTGTCGTATAACCCCTATAGATATTTAGACTTCTGTACTCTCACAACCTCATGACCCCTATACCCTTGTGACCTCATGATGCATTCTTGGCTACAGGTAACAGAACTGAAGGGTCTGGCCAACCACGTGGTTGTAGGCAGTGTCTCCTGTGAGACCAAGGACCTGTTTGCTGCCCTGCCCCAAGTTGTGGCTGTGGACATCAATGACCTTGGCACCATCAAGCTCAGCTTGGAAGTCACATGGAGGTTGGTGTTGCTGAGTGGCTTGGGGACAGGTCCAGGGGGCCTGTGGCACCTGCTAACAGCCTCTTCCTTCCCCAGCCCCTTCGACAAGGATGACCAGCCCTCAACTGCTTCCACTGTCAATAAGGCCTCCACAGTCACCAAGCGCTTCTCCACCTATAGCCAGAGCCCACCAGACACACCCTCACTTCGGGAACAGGCCTTTTACGTGAGTCACAGGCCAGGCTTAGGCCCCACCATCCCCCAGGGACTCCCTGGGGTGGTCCTGAAATGCCCTTTCCTCTCTCCCAGAATATGCTGAGGCGGCAGGAGGAGCTAGAGAATGGGACAGCATGGTCCCTATCATCTGAATCTTCAGACGACTCATCCAGCCCCCAGCTTTCAGGCACTGCCCGCCACTCTTCAGCCCCCAGGCCTCTGGTGCAGCAGCCTGAACCTCTGCCCCTTCAAGTCGCCTTCCGTAGGCCTGAGACCCCCACCTCTAGGCCCATGGATGAAGAGGGCGCCATGGCCCCAGCCCTGGCCAATGGGCATGCCCCCTACAGCCGGACTCTGAGCCACATCAGTGAGGCCAGTGTGGACGCTGCCTTGGCTGAGGCTTCAGTGGAGGCTCTGGGTCTAGAAAATCTAGCTCGGGGACCTAGCCTGCCTGCACACCCAGATCCCACCCATGGGGAGCAACCTGGTCCTGTTCCTTCTGCTGTGGACCCTTGCCATTCTGCCATAAGCCCCACCCTCAGTACAACAGGCCCTGCCCACACATCTACAGATCCTGCCCTGTCTGCACATCTAGACTTGGTTCACAAGGTCACAGACTCTAGCTCTTCCCAACTGCCAGGCCCCACCCACACCACTACAGGCTCGACCTATAATGCCATTAGCCCTAGCCACAGTGCTCCAAGCGCCACTCACACTACCACAGGTTCCACCCACAAGCCCACGGTCTCTACCCCCTCGACTACAGGCTCTACCCCCAGTGCCACAACCCCAGTCCAGACCACCACAAGACCCACTGATGAAGCAATGCTTTCTGCCCTCACTACTGTAGGTCCTACCCCCAATACTACAGGCCCTGTCCAGACCATCACAAGCCCTGTCCACACTGCTGCAAGCCTGACCCATACTACTGCAAGCCCCACCCATACCACTACAAGCCCCACCCATGCCACTACAAGCCCCACCCACACTACCACAAGCCCCCCCCACACTACCACAAGCCCCCCCAATACCATTGCATGCACCCCCCATACCACTACAAGCCCTACTCACAAAGCCAGGATGTCAACTCACACTGCTACAAGTCCTACCCCCAAAGCTAAGGGCCCAGTCCAGACCACCAGGATCCCCACTGATCCTGTCACAAGCCCCACTCTACTAACTGTAAGCTCTTCTACTTGCCTAGACCATGCCGTGCTTCCCAGCCCCTCTACAAACACAGACCCCGCCCTCCCAGTTACCCACACCCTGTCCTGCAGCTACCCAGCCTCCACTCCTTGCACTCAGGCAGACCCTACAGCCCCCCGTACCTCCTACCCAGGTGCCGCCTCATCCAGTTGGGAACCCCGCACAGGTCCTTCCCCAGAGCCCATCCTTTGGAGCCCAAGTCCCCCTCCCTCACCTCTAGCCCCTGTGCCCCAGCATTTAGACCTTAGCCCGGCCGTGGCCACCCGGGCCCCAGTTCCAGGGGCAACTGGAGGGGCTGGGGATAGGAGGCTAGAAGAGGCCCTGGGGGCCCTAATGGCTGCTCTGGATGACTATCGTGGCCAGTTCCCTGAGCTGCAGGGCCTGGAGCAGGAGGTGACCCGGCTGGAGAGTCTGCTCATGGTGAGGCGGGCGGGTGGGCTGCAGCAGCACAGGGAGGGTAGTCAGGCAGTGGGGGGTGGCGCTAACTCCCTTCATGACCCCAGCAGAGACAAGGCCTGACTCGCAGCCGGGCCTCCAGCCTTAGTATCACTGTGGAACATGCCCTGGAGAGCTTCAGCTTCCTCAACGAGGATGAAGATGAAGACATGGATGGTCCTGGAGACAGGTGAGGGGGGCCAAGTGAGGGGGCAGAGGTAAGCTGAGTCCCAGGGGAAGGAGAAAGGCCAGGAGGGGGGAACAGATGAGGTGGGGCCAGGTAGAACAAGGAGAGCAGCAAGACTGGAGGGGGGCAGAAGGGGATGCACCTGCCAGCAGGTGCGTCTGTATTCACCCCCACTCCGTGTAGTCCTCGTGTGTCCTTGATGCCTGTTTCTAACCCCTTCTGTGTCCCCAGTACTTCTGACCTCCCTCCTGGTCCCTGCAATGCCTGCCTCTCCTGCTGGTCCCCATCAACTCATGATGCTCCAGCTCCTCTTTCCCCTGGCCTCACCTTGGATCTACCCTATGTACAAGCCCTTTCACTGCCTCCCCATGCATCCTGGGTCCCCCAGCATCAACCCCCTCTGTCTCAACGTAGGCTTTTCTGGAGAACCCAGCCCCGTGGCTCCCTGTCCCAGAGGGGCCTTTGCCAAATCCCGGTTGAGGGTTGTGCCCAGCCCTTTCTCCCTCTGCTGCTGCCCAGGTTAGGGCCCTGTGCCCTGCACTCTTTGGGCCATAACTCCTTGCAGTCCACATTGCGTAGACCATCCCGCCTGCAACCCTACTCCCACCCGTCCCAGCCCCAGAGGTCCCGGCGGTTGCAGCTGGAGGAGGTAAAAGGCAGACGGACCCTGGAGATCCCCATTACCACCTGCTGGTCCTAGTCCCTTCCTCCTTCCGGAAGTCCTCCATGAACTTAACCATTGTCTGTTGTCTGTGCATCGTCTGTTCTTCCATTCTGGAATGGGGTGACCTTAATAAAAGTACACTGGTGACCACATGGTGATGCGTGCTCCTGGGGTGACTGACCCCATTTTTCTCTTAGGCCCCCAAACAGCCTGGAGCCTGGGGCTGAGGACAGCCTCGACTTACCCAGTGCCCGCCCCCTCAGCACGGAGTGTCCAGCTCTGGACGCTGCCTTGGTCCAGCACCTGTACCACTGCAGCCGCCTCCTGCTGGTGAGGCTAGTGGTATTCCCCACACCCTCCTTTTATAGCCCCTTATCCCAGGGAGCCCTGCACTTCGATCCCGGCCCTCTGTACCTCCTCTGACTCCCACTCCCCACTGCCCCCAGGGCCCTAGCATTTGGCTCTTGCTGAGTGGAACACCTCCCGTACTCTGGCTACCCACCCCATCTCCATGCATGCTGGGACTTGCAGTCCCTGGGCTCCACCCTCCCCAATCTTTATCCTGAGGTCTTAGTTGCTTGGCACCCCTATTCTCCAGAAACTGGGCACATTTGGGCCCCTGCGCTGCCAGGAGGCATGGGCCCTGGAGCGGCTGCTGAGGGAGGCCAGAGTGCTGGAGGCCGTATGCGAGCTTAGCAGGCGATGGGAAATCCCTGCCACCTCTGCACAGGAAGGTAAAGGCCCTGCCTGCCCCGAAGCTCCTCCCTTACCTAGCCCCATCTACATGCCCATCTGCCTGTTGGGTTGCTGATGCTCATCTGCACCTCCTCATAGTGGTGCAGTTCTCAGCCTCCCGGCCCGGCTTCCTGACCTTCTGGGACCAGTGCACAGAGGGACTCAGCCCCTTCATCTGCCCTGTGGAGCGAGTGCTCCTCACCTTCTGCAATCAGTACAGTGCCCGTCTCTCCCTGCGCCAGCCAGGCCTAGCTGAGGCTGGTGAGTGGGCTGCCTACCTGCCCCCTCTGCCTCCTTTCTCGGATCCCCCTTGATGGGACCTCAGGAAAAGCCAGGTCAGCCCATACAGACCTGCTGAGCTGAGCACTAGGAAGAACTAGCGAAGGCTATTTCTTTTGCACACAAGGACCCAGAGGGGTAGGGTTTGGACAGGGGGCCCCTGGACCTGAACCTGGGATGGGAGCATTCTTCCCTGTAAGGGCCTGGGTCCATCCAAACCCTGAGGCCTGCGGCACTGCCTCCCACAGTGTGTGTCAAGTTCCTGGAGGATGCCCTGGGGCAGAAGCTGCCCAGGAGGCCCCACCCAGGCCCGGGAGAGCAGTTCACGGTCTTCCAGTTCTGGAGTTACGTCGAAGCCTTGGATAGCCCCTCCATGGAGGCCTATGTGACTGAAACCGCTGAGGAGGGTGAGGCAGAGGCCTTGATCACAAAGTGGCCTGACCCCGTGGGTGGGTCTGAAGGTGTGGATGAGAGCATGAGTGCACAAAGGACCCCACCCCACGAGTCTCCACCTTGTCCCACCCCTCCTTTCCTTTCAGTGTTACTGGTGCGGAATTTGAACTCAGATGACCAAGCTGTTGTGCTGAAGGCCCTGAGGTTGGCGCCCGAGGGGCGGCTGCGAAAGGATGGGCTTCGGGCCCTCAGCTCCCTGCTGGTCCATGGCAACAACAAGGTCATGGCTGCTGTCAGCACCCAGCTCCGGAGCCTGTCACTGGGCCCTGTCTTTCGGGAACGGGTGAGAGGCAGGCAGGCCTTCCTTGAGGCAAAGGCTGGGGCCCCAGGCTCCCAGTGTCTGGCTAAGTCTGCGCTCCCACCCTTACACAGGCCCTGCTCTGCTTCCTGGACCAGCTCGAGGATGAGGATGTACAGACGAGAGTGGCTGGCTGCCTGGCCCTGGGCTGCATCAAGGTAACCCCTGCCAACCCATCCCCCGCTTCACACCCCTCGTGGCTCCCTCAGCCCTGGGCCCTGGGCCTTTCCCACCTTTCCCACTGGGCCCACCTCGATGTTCTCTCTCCGGTAGGCTCCTGAGGGCATTGAGCCCCTGGTGTACCTGTGCCAAACGGACACAGAAGCTGTGAGGGAAGCTGCTCGGCAGAGCCTGCAACAGTGTGGTGAGGCTAGGAGATGGGAGATACAGGTCAAGTCGAGTTCGGGAACATTTTGGCTGATGGGAGCTGGAGTGAGATGGAGTCAGGGATGGGAGGGCCGAGATGGGGCTACGATCACTCCTGACCCCATCCTTACCTATTACAGGGGAAGAGGGGCAGTCTGCCCATCGACGGCTGGAGGAATCACTGGACGCCCTGCCCCACATCTTTGGGCCTGGCAGCATGGCCAGCACGGCATTCTAAATTCCCTCCCCGCTGGCTCCCAGTGCCCCTTCCCCCTCACTTTCAGGGCTTATCAGGCACTGGCAGGGAGGGTGAGGGCTGGCTCCAGACACCTCTCCCCCACAGATTCCCATCAGTGAAAATCTAATATATTCTTCCGTTGCCCTTGGGTTGGTAGTCAGTGCCTGCAGTCAAGTGCCTCCCAGCCTCGGCTCAGCACACTTGCCACAAATCAGTGTCCTACCACATCCCTTGGTTTTATATTTTATTTACAGAGTTTTACAGAAAATAAAAAAGCAAAATGCCTTTCCTACATGGCCTGGCCTGGTGCGTTCCTGACCTCTGCTCCAGCACCCTCTGGCTATGGCGCTTCCTGACACTAATGTATCTGCACCCCCAACTGTGACAATGGCATGTGCTTTGGCCCTGGAAATTCAGGCAGAAGAGAGCCCAGAGGCTGGAACTGGGGTTGGGAAAGAGAGCAGAGGAAGATGGTGGTTGGGTGTTGCTGACGAGGCCCAGTGTGGAGACCGGGGGTGCCCTGGGCCTGGAAGCTGTGGGCCCAGGCTGCAGCCAAACTGTGGAGCTGGCCCAGAGAAAGCCCAGAGGTGCCAGTCCTGGTAATGGCTCCCTAGCAGCTAGCTCCAGGTGGCCTGGAGGCAGATGAAGCCGGCTGCAACGACCGTGGGGAAGACTGGAGCTTCTGGCCAGAAGGGGGCAGCAGAACCCCGTCAGCGAACGCCAGGCTTCTGGGTCTTCCATTAGCAGCGGCTGAGGGTGAGAGCAAGGTGGCTGAGATGAGAGCAAGGAGCTCCTGAAGGGCTGGATAGGAAGAAAGGGGAGATGCTTGTAGAGGGGGAGAGCTGGGGCCTGGGAAGCAGGAAACATGAATAGCTGCCCCCGTGACCCTAAACAGCAAGTTTTTCTCTCCCCAAGCTGCCTCTCCTCTCCGTAATAACAAACCTGACTGAACCCTGAGCTCCCCACCCCTGACAGTGGGCCGACTGCTGCTTCAGGAGGCAGGGCTCCAGGGAGAGGGCTCACCTCTTCCCAGAGTTGCCTGGCACGTGAGTGTGTTAACCCCAGAAGGTTAAGAATTCAATGGGGGGTAGGGGAATGGCGGGGATGGGATTTCAGGGTGGCAGGCCTGTTCCAAAGAGGGCTGGAGGGGGCCCACACCCAAGGCTGGACAACAGGCTCTCTACCCTTCCCCTCTCCCTCTGAGCTTTCATTATTACCCAGGGGCAAGGAAAACAGGCCCTCCCTACTTCCGGAGCCCACTCTGGTGTCTCAGTGCCTGTGGTGTCAGCACACAAGTGGGGCACACTGGGGAAAGTGTGTGCGCCTACACTCAAGAGGAGCCAATGAGGTGCCAACAGCCCCCCCCAGGAGGCTGGGGGAGGGGGTGACCCAGATCCCCAGGGAACCCTGCTCCCTGGTGTTTTAGCGCTGTGTATGAGGAGGTTTGGCTGGGCCTTTAACCACCTGCTGGGGAAGCCAAGCTGAGCAGAAAAACGGCCAACAGGAAGGAGCACAGGAAACACCTGTGTGTGGAAGCAGGTGGCTCATTCCAGAAGAGTCGGGGCTGAGGTGGGGGTGGGGGCGGGCATACACTCTCAGCACACCAGCACGGTGCTGTGTTCCCTCTGTAACTACGAAGGGTGGCATGGAGGGGATGGGGGACGATGTGCAGCTCAGCTTTTTGGGTGGTCGGCTAGAGTGGCAGGGGATGGAGAAAGCAAACAAGTCATGGAGACCAAGCCAGCACCCAAAGTTGGCTAGAGCTTGGGCCTGCCCCAAGGGCCCCTGCGGGAAGGTTCCGGTCCCAGAACCACCCCAAGGAGCCCCTCAGGCCTGAGGCCCCACAAGAGGCCCGCTGGTAGGGGCAGGACTGTCGACTTGGATTCGAAGCGTGCATAGCCTGTGTGGTGGGGAAAGAGGAAGTGAACACTGGCTGACCAGGTCCTGGGAAAGTGCAGACAGGGGTGACGGGGCCATCACGAGCTCACGGCTCAATCCACAGGAGAGGACAGGGCCTGGGCAAGACGTAGAGGATGGAAAAATATCCCAGCCAGAGGTCAAATGGGGCTGTCACCAAAAATCTGAATGGCCTGCTTTCCAGTGCTAAGAAAGGACAGGGCCCCTCTCTGTCCTCTACAAGGAGAGTCCTAAGACCAGAGCCTAGTATTCAGCTCTAGCTGAGGGTGGGTGTGAGGGTCAGGAGCCAGAAAGAAGACACCGTGAGCAAAGCCAGATACCGGTGAAGGACTGTCAATGCAAACGCAAGAAGAGTGTCCAGCCTTTGCCTCATCAAGCCTACTTAGCTCAGGGTTATGTGGATCAACCCCAGAACAGCCACTCAGACCCCCTCCCTCAATGCCTTGAGGTCAGGCTGAATGGCCTCCTACACCTAGGCCCATGTCTGTGGGTAGTGGAGGGCAGGGAGAACCCATCCTCCCTCTAGGATCCTCCCCTCCCTACACACACACAGCCTCACAAGTGCTTCCCACAGGGCACTCCCCCTACCTCCTACACTGCAGCCACTGAATAAGGAGCTGAACTGCTATGGCTAACGTGTACGTTTCTAGCTATATCCTCTGAATCTCCTCATGGCCTTCTCTGCCACCTCCTCCTCAAGGTTCAGGGAGGCACTCATTCCTGCTGCCCCAGGTGATGGGAGTGGGGGGCTGGTGACACCATCAGGAGTCAAAGGCACCGGGGCAGGGAAAGCCTATGCCCAGCTGTCCTGTGGAGCCTGTGCCAGGCTCTGTGAGGAAGAGGAAGTGTGACACACGGAGGAGCACCCTGTCAATCAAGGCCATCAAGGCCACAGCCACACCTTAGCCATCATCGTTGGGGCTCTCCCCGGACAAAACATAAGTCTGCATTGCAAAAAAGGGACCAGGCTGTGGTGGTCCAGGATGCAGTTTATTGTATCGGTGGTCACGGGGGCCTCCCATTTCTCCTCTCCTTCCCTCTTCTAATCTTACCTTTTCTCCTGTCTCCCACTCTTCTTCCTCGTGTTTCCAAAGCTGTAGAGAACAAAAAAAAAAAAAAAAAGGGAAAAAAGGCATGTTTGGGAAGGCAAAGCAGCAGATGGGTTGGCACGTGGGAAAAGGAGTGCTTCTTTGTCTCACCCACAGAGTGGGGGTGCCTTCCTTGTGTGTTTCTGTGCATGGGGCGTGGGTACAATTTGCTGAACCCTAGGCATATGACATGCTCCCTCCCCCTCCCCCCGCCCCCACCCCCAAACAGCCCTGGGGTGTCCTGTTCAGGCCATCTGCCCATCGTGGCTCAGCTGCCGGACCCAGATCTTCTGGGCCTGGGTAATACGGAAGAGTGAGCTTGGTAAGGACTCCAGCTATGGAAAAACAGCCTATCATTTAGAAAATAAGACGGTCATTGGCCTGCAAGAGAGGGGCCTCTTTTTTCAGAAGGCTGCAATGTGGTGGTGGCCACATTTGAGTTTCATGTCAACAGTCAAGTCTCGCTTGTCTCTGAATACACTCAGGGCATATGGACTCCCAGTAAATGCTGACTTAGGGGCGCCTGGGTGGCTCAGCCAGTTAAGCGTCTGCTTTCAGCTCAGGTCATGATCCCAGGGGCCTGGGATCGAGCCTCGGGCTTCCTGCTCAGTGAGGAGTCTGCTTCTCCCTCTGTCCTTCCCCCTGCCCGTGCTCCCTTTCCCTCTCTTTCTCTCTCAAATAAATAAATAGAATCTTTAAAAAAAAAAATATGCTGACTTAGAGCCACTGAATAAGGAGCTGAATTGCTATGGCTAACATGTACGTTTCTAGCTATATCCTCTGAATCTCCTTACAGCCTTCTCTGCCACCTCCTCCTCAAGCATCCTCTTACAAACATCACTCCACAGGATTCCATTCCAGGCCCTTTCCTGTTCTCTCTTGAAACACATTCATCTGTTTCTCTGGCTCCATCTATATGCTAAGGCTGTATGCCAATGATTCACATGGCTCTCTCCTCACTCCCATGTCCAACTGCTGACTGGACACCTCCTTTTGAATAGCCAAGGTGTTTCAAACTCAGCATGCTCAAAATCAAACTCAGTATCTCAAAACCTAGTTCTCCTCCAGGTCTCCTGAGGTTACCAGCTACCCAGCCACCGGAATCCTCTCAATTATTGCCCTATTTCTAAATTCTGTCCACTCTTCATTAACCCCATGGGCACCACTCAGATACGGGACATGTTGACCTCTTACTGAGACACTAAAACTGCCCCCTCACAGGCTTCCTGCCTCTGGTCTTATCCTTCTTCCATCCATTCTCCATGGTTCATCAGAGTGATTTCTAAAACCCACCGCACAGGTTTTCTTTTCTCCTAGGGAGGAGCCCAGGCCCCTCAACCTGGACACAAAGCCACCCTCAGTTATGCCACCTTTTTTTTTTTTTTTTAATTTTATTTATTTGACAGAGACACAGCGAGAGAGGGAACACACGCAGGGGAGTGGGAGAGGGAGAAGCAGGCTTCCCGCCAAGCAGGGAGCCCGGTGCAGGGCTCGATCCCAGGACCCTAGGATCATGACCTGAGCTGAAGGCAGACGCTGAACGACTGAGCCACCCAGGCGCCCCTATGCCACCTAACTTCTTGCTCTGCACTGGAGCCTTCTGGTGGGGCTGGCTTGCCCCTCGTGGTATGCTCTTCCCCCCTCATCTTGCCTTGTTAGTGCCTGTTCACCTGAATAGGCTTCAACCTGGACATCACAGATTTCTTCAGGAGCTTGCTCTTCCACTATGCTCCTGTCATGGAGCCTGCACTTCCCCTAGTCTAGTACTAATCACACCCCATTGCAATTATTTATTTTATATCCATATATATATATGTATATTATCGTGTTTAATGCAGAAAAAGCCTGGACACTCAAAATACCCCCATGTACCCTACAAAGCACAGTGTTTTAGAATGCACTTTTACACTGGGATCCCAATTAAGGAATAAAATGGAAGCCTGAGCATGGGACAATATAGGGAAGGAGAGCTGAGGCTGGACTGGTTGAGGCGGCAAGCAAGTTAAATCCACAGGGGCCAGAGGGAGCCATTAGAAATGAGGCTGAGGGGCGCCTGGGTGGCTCAGTCATTGGGCGTCTGCCTTCGGCTCGGGTCGTGATCCCAGGGTCCTGGGATTGAGCCCCGCATCGGGCTCCCTGCTCAGCGGGAAGCCTGCTTCTCCCTCTCCCACTCCCCCTGCTTGTGTTCCCTCTCTCGCTGTGTCTCTCTCTGTCAAATAAATGGATGAAATCTTTAAAAAAAAAAAAGAAAGAAATTAGGTTGAAGAGGGGCACCTGCTGGCTCAGTCA